ATCTTTCATCTTCACCTTTATGCTGTTGCTATTTTATAAGTAGCCTTTACTGGAATAAAAGTGAGTTCCGCTCAATAAAGTATTCTGAAAATATTTGCCCATTAAATGTAAAAAAAGGCGAAAAATACTATATTTACTCTATAAAATGTACCACCAATTGCCTTCTCTTAAAAACCAGGCTTGTAGAAAAAGTTTTTTATTGGTGCCACTGTCGCCCATTCGCCTTTGGATCCGTAATATGCGCGATAGTAATCATCGATTAGATGCGTTTTTAAGTGTGTATTTACATTTTACTAAATTATCTTGGGTGTTTTCTAGCCTACCTTCAAGCCAATTCCTCAAGTGCCATTCAATCATGGGCTGCTCTAGCTGCTTAACCCAGTCTAATCAGGCGTAGCTGTCTCACTCCATACCAATTCACACACCCTCCTACTTTCTCATTCCTTAATTAGCATATTTTGACTGGCTGATGAGAGAGAACGAGAAGTTGCGGACCATATTTTCACAATGTAATTCGTGTCAACTTTTTAGGCCGGAGCTTATGATGCATATATGATTTCAGGATTTGATCGTTTGAGGTTGAAAATTCCCTGCTATTTTTTCCAAATCAAGCTCATGTGAAGGAAAGCGCAAGACATCCTCAACCAAAATATACTTTTGTTTATTGCTAAGACTGGTTTGCTTTTACATCAATCTCCGTCACAGAAATCGTGAGGGATCCACGAGAGTGATCCTAATTTTGTGTCACCGTGTAATTATTGGCGAACAATTGATGTCAAATTGGCATATCCAATCGCTTGGATAAATAATATGAAATGCTGGCTACATGTAGAGCAAGGGATATCGTTTATCGAGCACTGAAATAGAAATAGAAAAAGGGCCCTAGTTATTTCTCAATACTAAATTGTTATTTTTATCTGGGCCACCACTAATTTTTAAAGAGTAGTAATGATCCAACCATAAATGATTTATTAGAATCCCGAAAAATGATTCGTTTGCCTCGAGGAGCAACGATTTGATTGACTTCATTTAAACAATTTGGAAATGCTTTCAGAAAATCTTATAAAAACTTATCGAAGCGGTCTGACCTCGTATTTGCAACTTGGTCGTATAATCAGGGGAGTCTAGTTGGACGCACCATATCCAGGATCATCTAATATAGTACTTATGTTATCTCCTAGCGTTGTACCGTGGACTTGGAACATTCATAGACTTTACGTCTGCATCGTCCGTGAGTCTCGGCATGTCTCTTCAACTAGTTGTAGCTTTTCGCTGATAATGCCAAGACTCACTGACGATGTTGGCGAAACGTCTGGGAATAAATCAAGTCTACGGTCCGACGCTGGGAATTTTGATGACGCATATAGTGGAGGACTTCGGATAAGGTGCGTCCAACTGTTCGCTCTGATAAATCGACCAAGTTGTGAAAACGAGGTCAGACTACTTCTATGGATAGAAGGCCACAATATCTTGGTCCTCATAGACAAGCTTACAAAATCATACCCTCTGCCATCATTGTAGTTTGTTTTTTCATCTTCTAACCATTGTTTTGATCCATTTTTAGATGTTTTAAGGACAGTATATTCTGCCACTTTATTTGGCAGCCCCAGCCTTAGCAACGACCTACTAATCGCAAAATAACTAGTTTTGTCTATCCCTATAACAGACAATTTTCGGAGGCGTTTGACTTCATTAGTCACTACTAGTTATAACTCTATTTTAATGTGAAGGCTTCCATTTCGTAAGGAAGTACATGATAAAGAGATTCGTGCGTCAATCTCGCCAGAAGATGTCGACTGATCCGTGTTGTACTGCAGCTATTTGGCATTAATATGACGTGCAGTTGATGTAGTCCACGAGACGTCCTCCAACGTTTCAGGCGAAGATGGGCTGAGCTTTCATTTGTTGTGTAACGAACATCGTTAGAGCTGGGACGCATTTTTGTAAAAGCCTCAAGGCAACACTTTTTCAAGAAGATTAGTCGGTTTTTTTCTATACGATATATAGACTAGTTGCGAGCAAAATTTACGCTATAGATGGATACAGTAAGGTTTTGTTGATTTACTTATTAATGTCAAACGCTTGCAGTATAACTCGAATCAGCCGACGTATTCTGGTGAGATTGACCTACGAATCTCCTCATCATGTACTTCCATACGAAATCGAAGACTTCACATCTAACTTCTCTCAGGAGATTCTTCGAAACCCGCATTTTCTTCGTATATACCCTATTTTAGGGCTGACACTACTCCTTGATGATGTATGGGTTAGATCACTTGGAGTCTCCCTGAACGCACGATTAAGTGCTAAAGTGAGGAGGGGAAAAATTATGAAGTTGCAAGATGGATTGCAACAGAAACAAAGTCAATACCAACTTGATCTTAATTTATACAATGAAGATTATTCTTTAGACAACATTACATGATGCCTAACAATTTATTTGATCAAAATGCGTTAATCCTGTTTCCTAATTGAGCGAAAAATACGAGGTAGTTTGAGGTGATTACATGTGCCGACCTAAACTGTTTTGGGCCCACTTTTATTTAGTCAGCATCAACCAGGAATGGAAATTTAGCTCTAGTCCAGATCGAGTGATAGTGTCGTGGCATAAAGACTACCATTGATTTACCGCTGATTCAGGCCCTGTTGGTTGATCTTTCTATGATCAAGCGAAGCGAAATATTAATTTCACCCTTTTTAGCATGTACCAAACATGTGCTCTTTACCAGGCTGAGTGTAGTTTGCATCTATCCTAATTATTTTGGGCTTCGCCAACGGGGGCTCAAACCGGCTACATAGCATATTTTAGTATAAAAACCACTCAAACCTTTATCAGTCCATAGCTGAGGGTAAGCTGCCGAAACGTACAATTAATCATTCTTTGGAATACCAGGAGATGAGTGGAAACGCTTAGTCAATACTTGTTCCTCGTCTTGTAACTAGACTGATTGGAAGATCTGTAATCAGGAGTAGGTCCTTTCCCTCGGCTCAAGTCGCCTGTTTAACAGGTCTTGAATCCGTGAAGGTGAGACTATACCGGTTCAACTTTAGATAGTAACCCAAATGTTACTGACTTTTCTTGCATTCGATCATACCTCATCGACCAGAATGACAATATAATGTCTGCTAAAGGGCAAGAGGAAGGACCCATTTTGCATCTGTGCCTACATGGATTTCGAAGATATGACCACACGTTTGCGTCCGAATGTACCATTCAGAATTTATTGTTGACTCCCAGCTTCTTTTATACTTACTAACCTCTTTGTTCCAGGCCACAATTTATTGTTTTTCCCTTGCTCTTATGATCACTTTACATTTCCTAATTGTTTTTCTCATTTCCACCAATTCACTTCTTTAATCATTCCTGTCTTTGATGGTGTATGCTATTGGGTATAGTTTAGCGTATTAACTCGTATTAACTATAAAGATTTTTTTCTTTATCCTTTCTCCTTGCTCCTTATTCTTTGTTACAATATCTCATTCTGTTCATTTTTTAGTGTTTTCTGCTTTGCAATTTTTTCTTCCGCTGTACTTATCTTATATTCACCTTCATCTTTTGTCCGTTTCCCTGATTTCGCCGAGTTTCATTTAGTACATCTCTTTCACCATTTTACTTGTCTATCTGCAACTAGATCCTTCCAAAGAAGCCTCGCCTACAACCATCTGCAACACTTCCACCAAAGATTCTCATGTCTCTCTTCATCCCAATGCTAAAGTGCACCTGCCCTCGGTGACTTGTTTAGGCAGTGAAAGTCGAGAAGGCAGCGGCGACAAAGAAGAAGAGGAAGAAGACGAAACACAATCGGAGCAGGTCAATAAAAGCCGGAGCCGAAAAAAGGTGATGATGGCTGTCATGATGGCTGAAAAGGAAACCATACCAGTCTGTCCTCTGTCTGACAGCGGCTACACCAACTCGAAGTTGGTCAACACCTCGAGTGGACCAGCTGGATGCGCAGAGGATGAGACTTCTGTGGCCACGCCAACAACCTCACTGACTAGCAGATATCCACCGGCATCGACGCACTCTCTGCCGATATCGTGTTCCGGCCCCTCGCTAGCTCTGGCGTCAGCTGACAATCAACCAGATCCGGCGTCAAATCATGTGAAACAATCCGACGACTGGACGCAGGGAACATCTGTTCACTCGGCTCTTGGATCAGCTGATACCGTTTTCGATTTGCGAAAAGGGCAAATGAGACTCTCCTGTTTGATCGCATCCAATATCAACTCCGATATTGCCGCCTCCTATCACCAATACCAGAGCCATGAGCTGGACGACTTGATGTCGGGCTCGAGTGATCGTCTAATGGATTTCGAGAAGCTGATCCATCAGCAGGCAGAGATGACGGCCCACACTGAGGATCTGTCGAGACAACTGGGGCAGAGTGAGCGTGAAAGACTCGAGGCGAAGCGCTTGTGCACATCCCATCAGGACAAGTGAGTGTTTCACCAAGTTGACGCAATATGCGTCTTCCCTCAAATAAGGTGCTCATTTATGGGGCTTGAACTGATAATAATAGACCATATCCAGAAGGGTTATTCTAGTTTGGCCATACTTTTTGGCCCTTAAAAATACCCGAGGAGCCAAACTTGCAAGTCCTTCAATCCTCCCTGTTAGTCTTAATATCAAAAGCTTCGTAATCCGCTTTTCATGCATGAGTTGCAGCTTTCTTTTAGACTATCGTCTGCTGAAGACTCAACCAAATGGCAACCAGCGATTATCGGCTCAGTCTTTTATAAAGATCATAGGAAAACTGGTACTAAGTGCGCTCACTTCAGCTGGCCTGAAAGGGTCTTTAGGGAGCTGAGTTTCTTATCTTTTTCAGTTTAAACTCAACATTTTGATGTCGTAAGAATGTCTAACATCAATTTTGGCCGGAAACTGCAAAGTTTTACTTCACAATTTTACACATTTATCCTTTATACTCTCTGGATACACGCAAAATAAGATTCCTACCACCTCTTTGTTAAATGCTTTTTGAGCAAAATTTTTTTTAGAATATTCCTTGTCGTCACATCACAACCAACAACTCGAATGACTTGAACACAAAGGTGGGCTTTCTTGATGTAAGTGTCATTTTGTGTCTAAACCAACTCCACAATGACAGTTATTTTCGGGAAGGCAGAGAGATCTCTATCTCATTAGTAAACTATTATAATTACTTATGAGCTCCTGAACTGACCAACAGAAAAGATTTGCCAATGAATGTGGATGGAATCTCGTCAGCATCGCCTGAGAAGACAGTTTGTAAGACTCGACTTTGTATGAGGGAAAATTAATTTTTACACATGAAAATCGCTTTGATTAACTAACACACTGAAAATTCCTATGGATTTGTGGACCTTATCTGATGCCGACATTTTCGACCCCTTCTAGCCTTCGTAATAGATTGAAACCCACTCCTGCATCCAACTAAGGTAGAAATCAGAGCACAAATGGCCTCCTTGAATTTGGCTTATATATGACGGAAGCATCATTACCTTAAAAAAAGGAATATTTTTTTACAGAACATGTTATGAACTTTTCTATGATCCCTGCACTATTTCTTGCCATACATAGTAACTTCTATTTTGGCCCTCTCGATTGAGAATTAACAAGTTAAACAAGCAAATCTATCTTTTGTACCTTGACCCGAAATAACTCCATTCCATTTACAAGTATTTTTTAAAAAGTTACAGGGGCATTGCCATAACACTTAACGATCACTTGCAAAGACTACTAACTTCCGAATTAACCAAGTCTCAATCTATACATTCGTGAATATGGAGAAAAACTGGGTTTCAGAGAATACCTTAATACCTTGATATTGGAGTAACTTTCAATTCGTTTGAAGAGGCGAGTAGAAGGGATTCGTACGTTAGTTCCACAGGAAGCTGTAATTGTAGAATTGTGCAAATAGGTTCTCTGCGTAATCTTTGATGAGCTTTCGTCCGTCATGTGATGGACATCGTCAGAGAAGGACACCATGCTTAACGATAATTCACCCAAAACACGAAGGAAAAATAGGTAGTCGTCTTCAAACCTACTTCCTTTTTATATTCCAATTTGGTCCACTTATGCATTTCATGCTTTGCCTCTATACTTGCTCTTAAGTCAAGTTAATTGGCTGCAGATGAAGCTTGAAATGGGTGCAATTGAAACCAAACAATTGCATACTACCCAAAAACACGTATACCTTTGATCCTGCAATGTTACTGCATGTGAGTGCACATGTTGTGTGTATACATTGCACTTAAATTGAGTGTGATGTGAGAGAAAGAGTCCAATTCGAGGTAAATAAAGCATAAATGTGTTTTTCGGTCGCAATTACACCCGTTTCATGCTTCATCTGCAGCCACTTCACTTATGAGCAAACCTTTAGGCAAAGCATAGTATATCCAACCAAAACATGATATGCCTAAGTGGACCAACTTGCCGCCGTGTTCTTGGTAAATTATATATTGGCATGGTGTTCTGCTCTGACGATGTCCATCACATGACGTACAAATATTCAGCAAGGATTCATCGAGGTTGCAAGGCGGTGCGCCGAGGATCTATTCGCAGAAAGCTACAATCACAGTGCAAGACAATACCCCCACAGCTTCCAGGGGAACCAATGTAGACATCACTTCCACTCGTCTTTTTAAACGGAATGAAAGTTACTCCAACATGAATGATGCATTCACCTTTTTCAACTTATATTTCTACTGGTATGGATGATACGCAGAGAAATTGAGTTTCGATGAAGCTCCTGAGATAACATTATTGGGGGGATTTTAATTTCGTATGAAAGTGCATGAATAGGAGATTCGAAGGTCAATCTCACCAGAAGAGGACGGATGAATCCCGTTGTACGGCAGCCATTCGGCTTTTATACGACGTTTAGGTTGACGCAGTCCACGAAGCCTTTTCCCTCGTTTCGGCTGAAAATGGGCTGAGCTCTTGTCCATTCTCCGACAGACATAATCGGAGCTGGGACTCGCGTTGACACTCGGGCAAAACGACTATCCGACTCTATCTTACATCTTATATAGACTCAACTGTGCAAAATAAAATTAAAAAGTACGGATAGATATAGAAGGGTTTGGCTAATTATCTTTCATATTGGTCCTTCTACTTATGTTCGAGTCTGTGCGTGTGTATATGAGTGTGTGTGTGTTAGTATCTATACGCAATATCGGTCATAAATCAGAGTTATCAAACCGTTAAAGTTATGCTCTGATCATCAAAACCTAATGACCCAAGAGAAAACCCTGACCGAGACTGCGTAAGTCCGTAAGCAAGTATGGTTGAGATGAGATATGAGCTTGTAAGCATGTAAGTTAAGTTACGAAACCACTTGTCTTAACCTCTCAGTCTATGATCATTAACGTTTAACCCTCTAAGGAAAGGCATGACTGAGGCTGTGTAATCTGGTACGTCTGGTTTGGTTGATGAGCTGAATCTTACATGTTGGATGACGATGAGGAAAGTTAGAACGATCCTATAGCAGACAAGTTGAGTCGCTTTCTTTTTGACCGGGGCTCAACACCCTTTCTTTCTTTCAATCTATCAATCAAGCATAAGTAGTTCCTACTCAACTTTCTACCACTGTTCCTCACATTCAACCTATTTCCTAAGCCAGTGATTCCCAAACTGTGCGCTGCGGCGCCCCAGGGAGCCGCGGCCTCTTTACAGGGGCGTCGCGAAATATTGTAAAAGCTTCAATTGGAAAAAATTTGTAGTAATTTGCAGGCTCATCCATCACATTAATTATTAAATATTATTAGAGGGACCTTCATTTCGTATGAAAGTGCATGAAGAAGAGATTCGTTGGTCGAT